AACAACTGATCCGGAGCTGACCTATTCAGGTCCGTCGGACCAGAACGCCTTTGCCCTTCGCTAGTCCGCCGCTCGCTGCCCAGTCAGTCGGAGTGAACCCACTGCAGCTCTGGTCCGGAGCTGACCAGTTTTGGTCAGCCGGACCAGGATCTTTTTGCGCCGTGTTTTCGCTTTCATTTTTTATGTGCCGTCCGCTGGACCAAGCCTTGATCCGGCTGACCGCGTGACCTGGAACTGATTAAGTCCGACTTTTCTCGGACTTTAGAAGGGGGTTCGATTTTTACACAGCAAGGGCGGCGATTTTCTCTCTTCTAGAAGACCTAGGGCTGAAATCTTGAAGGAGAAACAAGGAGTTTGCTTTGGTTTGAAGATTGAAGATCCTATTGAGCATCTCTTTCCCTTTCTCTCCACCAGACTACCCTTACCCCTGTTCTTGAACATGGTTTGTGAGTAGTTTCTTGTTGTGGGATGAGGGATTAGCCCTCATGTAAGGATGCTTGTATTCACTTTGGATCCAAGATTATGCTTTTTTATACTTTCAAATCCTTGCATTGAATGGAAATTGTGTTCTTCAAGTTTATCTCTCTTGAATGAATGTTTAGGGAAACCTAGGATTTATTGAATTGAGTGATTCAATTGTTTAGGTTTGATTGCTAGAGTTTGATGAATGGTGTTTAATGCTTCCTCTTGGATGAAAATCCTATGGGTAGATTTTAGGATTGAGAATTTCATGGAGACATGGATTCTTGGTTCTTTGATGCATTCATTGAATTGGGTTGAGATTGAATGCGAAGAAATTCGGTTCGATCCAACTTAGGATTATGACAAGGGCGTTTTATTGCATTCGGGGTTTCACTCTAACCCACGAAAGTGGATAGGGTGTTCTCTTGGATAGCGGGCATTCAACTCAAAAGTGCCGAATCCGATCTTAGTCTTCGAATCTCTCACTTTAGAACAAGCATGATCTAGGTCCATAACCCTTACGACATCCTTGCGTGATCGGTGAATCCCGATTCCCATAACCTTTCCATTGATTATTTTCTCTTGAATATTGCTCGAAATTTTGATTTTAGTTTCCCTCATTTAATTTTCTGCAACTTCCAAAACAACAAAAAAACAATTCCCAAATTTATTCTCACCATTTCCTAGTTTTGATCGATTCCTAGTTTAACCGCACAAGTCTCTGTGATCGACCGGTATACTTGTGGATACGTTGTGTTTCGGGTTATAAATTTAAAGCTCGTCACGCAAGTGATCAATTTTTTTGGCACCGTTGCCGGGGACTTTTGACGGTTTTCATAGCTAGGATAAATTGACTCTAGGTCAGTCTTTCCAGAGTCTATGATTTTTTTTTCGGTTTGATTTTTTGTGTGTTTGTTCACTTCCTTTTTCTTTGAGTATTTGTGTGATTTTTATTTTTCTCTTAGTCAATTTTTCTTTGTTTCCTTTATTTCTTGATTTTTCTGTTTTTATTTTCTGCTGTTTGTATTTCCGTGGACTTTTCTGGACTTCTTCTGGACATTTTCTGGACTTCTCTGGACATTTCCAGATTTCCTAGACTTTTCCGAAGTTATTCTGGACATTTCCTGGACTTTTCTGAATTTTTCTAGATTTCTCCAGAATTTTCTGGACTTTTCCGGGATCGTTCTGGACTTTTTCGGGTGCCTCTTTTTATTCTCTGCCTTTTTATTTTATTCGATTCACCGTCTCTGCCTTTTTCTGGACTTTTATTTTTTCACGTTCCCTTAGTGCAACAGCAGACGTTCCACCCGAAGACAACTCGATCCTGAATTTGAGCTTGCCTTTGACCCGGACATAGACAGAACAGAAAGGGAAATCCGTAGAAAACGAAGAGAGGACAGAATGGCAGAAGAGGCAGCAAGGGATGAAGCGCAGCCAAGAGAGCACGTCCGAGCTAATCCGGAGACGCTCGGAATGTACACGACACCTAAGCACACTCAGTTGCTTTGTGCATCAACCGACCACCCCTAGACCATTTTGAGCTACAACCGCAGTTCATTCAGATGTTGAATCAGTTGAGCTTCAGAGGGAGACATAATGAGGACCCAAATTCTCATCTTACGCAGTTTAAGATGATGTGTCGGTCCATCAAGAAGCCACAAGGCATGACAATGGAGGACGTGATGATCGAGGCCTTTCCTTTCTCTTTAATGGACAAGGCGCGGGACTGGCTTTATACCTTGAGCCAAATTCCATTTCTACATGGGATGAGATGGAAGAGAAGTTTATGATGAAATACTACTTGCCCATGAAGACACAGTTGGCCTTGAACAAGATCAACTCCTACGCCCAAGATGATGATGAGACCTTGTATGATGCTTGGGAGAGATTCAAAGAGTATCAGAGAATGTGTCCGCACCATGGTATGGACCGCAAATATCTCCTCTCTACTTTCATACATGGCCTTAGGGACGACACAAGACGCTGGGTTGATGCAGCATGCGGAGGCAGTATGTATGACCTCTCTTTCGAGGCATTAGAGGCGCAGATTGCTAAGATGGCAAAAGGAAGAAGCATTTCAGGGGAAATGGGCAGCATGCGATCTTTGCCTAAGACTGTAGCTTGATGGCTTTATACCTTAGCGAGTCTTCTGCTTTACAGGTCATTCTTTCGGAGCTCTCTGCCATCAAGCTACAGCTTGCTAAGTCCGGTTCTTCAAACCCGCAGAAGGTTAAACCGGGCATGTACATGGTAGACCAAGCAGAAGAAGCTATAGAAGAAGTAGACTACGTGGGATGAAATCAGTATAACAATCAATCGAACTTCTATAATCCGGGGAATCGGAACCACCCTGGCCTCTCTTATGGCAACCCGCAAGGAGCATTGAATCCTCAGCATCAAAGCGGATCGAGACCTCAGGGACCGCCGGGATTTCAGCCTAGATACCAGAATCAGGGATATCAGAGTCAGAATCAAGGGTATCAGAATCAAGGCCATGACTACAATAAGAGGAATCAGGGATACAGAGCTTCTCCGCCTCAGGCTAAGGAAGAAGAGTCGGAATTAAAATCAATGTTGGCTCAGCTAATGCACGATCAGAAGAACTCATTTTCTAGCCTGAGTCAAGAGATGCAAGCATTTAAAGGGAAACAAGAGAGCTTTGAGCAGAGATTGGATGGGGTGGATGCACATCTCAGGATTGTGGATAACCAGATTGCTCAACTTGCTTCCCAAGCTGCGAGGCCTCAAGGCCAATTTCCGGGTAAGGGTGATCCTAACCCAAGGGATCATATTAATGCTATAGGTTTGAGAAGCGGAAGACAGCTTCCGGAGACCTCCCCTGTCATCAGAGAAGAGGGAGAAGGTTCACACGAACCTCAGAGGCCCCCCTTAGATAAAGGCAAAGGTCATGTTGTAGAGGGGGAAGAGGCGAGGTATATTTCGCCTCCTCCACAGGCATGTCCTCTACCATTTCCATCTCGGGCGAGGAAATATAACGAAGACAGCCAGTTCGCCAAATTTACGGAGATGTTGAAGAAGCTAGAGGTGACCATGCCTTTTCATGAGGTAGTTCTCCAAATCCCGTCCTATACTAAATTTTTGAAGGACATTCTTACAAAGAAGAGGGCGGTTGAGAAAGAGATAGTGACACTTAGCACGGAGGTGAGTGCAGCCATATTGCAGACGGAGTTACGGTAGAAGATGGTTGATCCCAGTAGCTTCTCCATCCCGCACAAATTGGGGAATGTGGAGATTGAGAGGGCACTTTGTGATTTGGGCGAAAGTGTCAGTTTGCTGCCTCTCTCCATATTCAAGAAACTTAATGTCGGTGAGCTGAAACCGACAAGGATGGCGCTGCAATTGGGCGATAGATCGGTGAAGTATCCCATTGGGATTTTAGAGGATGTGCCTCTTAAGATAGGGGAGTTCTACGTCCCCGTCGACTTTGTTGTTCTAGACATGCCGGAGGATTCCAAAATCCCCATCATACTTGGTAGGCCGTTTCTGAACAGGGAAGATGTTGTTGTGCATGTCAGAGAGGGTAGACTCACGATGAAGATTGGTGATGAGACGGTTGAGTTCAGACTTGATCAGAACCTTAAGCAGCCACATTTGTTAGAGTCTTCCTTCTACATAGATTTGATCGACACATTGGTCAATGAAGTGAGGGATGAGTTCAGAGATTCAGATCCCCTCGAGATGGCACTGAACGCGGTACAAGAGAGCATGTACTGCAATTGGGAAGAAGTCGGAACATCGTTCGGACTTTGGATGATAGCTCAGAGATTGAGCTTGAGGGTTGGAAGTACAGGGCCGTTGAGCCCTTATTTTGCTCTGCCCTTGAGTTCCCTTGGCTTAGGGATGAGGAGAACAGAGAGGAATCATCATCCTCTCCGAGTCATCAAGCTCTGATCTCCTCCATACAAGTCAAGCAACCCAATATGGAGACGAGCAGGAAGAAAGACTGGGATCCAGAAAATGCGCCAAAGGTGGAATTGGAGCCCTTACCACAAGGGCTTAGGTATAAATTTCTCGATCCTAATTCTACTTACCCGATTATTGTGAATCCTGCTTTGAGTGCCGAGGAACTAGCTGCCTTAGTGACTTTGCTTAGAGAGTATTGGCATGCCTTGGGTTACACTTTGGACGATATTAGAGGCATTAGCCCATCTCTTTGTATGCATCGCATTCACTTAGAGGATAGTTCCAAAACTTCCATTGAGCATCAACGTAGGTTGAATCCCACCATGAAGGAGGTAGTGAACAAAGAGGTGCTAAAACTGTTAAATGCGGGTATCATTTATCCGATTTCAGATAGTGCATGGGTTAGTCCCGTGCAAGTTGTTTCAAAGAAGGGGGTATCACTGTAGTGGAAAACGAGCATAATGAGCTGATTACCACTAGGACGGTCACGGGTTGGAGGATGTGCATTGACTATAGGAAGCTGAATTCGAACACCCGCAAGGACCATTTTTCTTTGCCCTTCATCGACCAAATGCTAGAGAGATTAGCCACGCATTCCCACTTTTGTTTTCTTGACGGATATTCGGGGTTCTTCCAAATCCCCATTCACCCTAGCGACCAGGAAAAGACCACCTTCACATGCCCATATGGCACCTTTGGATACCGTAGGATGCCCTTTGGTTTGTGTAATGCACCGGCGACATTTCAAAGATGCATGAATGCGATATTTTTTGATCTTATTGAGGATGTTATGAAGGTGTTCATGGATGATTTCTCTGTCCATGGACCCTCCTTTCCTGTGTGTCTGATGAATTTGCGTCGAGTGTTGGACAGTTGAGTTGAGGCGAATCTTGTGCTTAATTGGGAGAAATGTCATTTCATGGTCCAAGAGGGCATTGTGTTGGGTCACAAGATTTCAAGCAGAGGGATTGAGGTTGATCGGGCTAAGGTCGAAGTGATAGAGAAGTTGCCGCCTCCACGGAATGTTAAGGGAATCCGGAGTTTCTTGGGACACATCGGGTTCTATAGGAGGTTCATCAAGGACTTCTCCAAGATTTCAAGGCCTTTGACGGAATTACTTGCAAAGGATGTGCCTTTTGAGTTCATCCTTGAGTGCAAGGCTGCCTTTGAGACTTTGAAGAATGCATTGATTTCTCCGCCTATTATTCAGCCGCCGGATTGGGAAGCTCCCTTTGAGCTTATGTGCGATGCGAGTGATTTCGCCGTTGGGACTGTTTTGGGCCAAAGGAAAGACAGAAAGCTTCGTGTTGTTTATTATGCGAGTCACGCCTTGGATGATGCACAAGTTAACTACTCCACGACCGAAAAGGAGCTACTCACCATTGTCTTTGATTTTGAGAAATTTCGGTCCTACTTGGCCGGTTCAAAGGTGATTGTGTACACCGACCACGCCGTTTTGAGGTATCTCCTATCCAAGAAGGATGCCAAGCCGAGGTTGATCGGATGGATTCTCTTGCTGCAAGAGTTTGACTTGGAGATTAGGGATAGGAAGGGTACGGAGAATGGGGTAGCTGACCACTTATCTCGGATTGAGCGACATGAGGAAGTTCCCATTGATGATTGTCTCCGAGATGATTTTGTGATGGCGGTGCAAGTCAAGGAGAGGGTGATGAGGACATCCCGGAGCTTGGAACAGGAACGGAGCTAGAAGCAGAGCTAGGAGCATAACCGGAGCAAGGAGCGGAACCGGAGCTCGGAGCAGGAATGGAGCCGGAACATGAAGATCCAAGGATTGAGCCTACACGTCCCGTTCGCATGGATCCTCCGATCACTCGATCCAAGACAAGGACACTTCGACAACAACTCAATACCTTCGTGTCTCGTGTCATGTCTGAACTCACGCTCGAACGTGCGTGCTCGTCCTCGGCCGAATGCGCCACGGTTTGTCATATGCTTGTGTGCGAAGAAGAGAACACTTAGGATGCAAACTACTCAAAGGAAGCTTCTTGGAACCCAAGTTATCTTCCAACAGCTAGTATCTCCCCACCTACTTCATTAATGGCACGAGAATTGTTGAAGCTTTGCATGTTGAGTTGTCTTTAATTTCTAGTTGTTAGTATCATCTATTTAAAACCCATGTAAACCCACTTTGAGAGAACTTTTTGGTTGATCAATTTCGAACTAAGTCTTTGAGACTCTTCTCCACATCATTTTCGTGTCGAGACAAACTTTGTTGGTCCGAGTTTTTGCTTTGTTGGTCCGAGCCACCCTCTTGGTTCGTCCGAGAATCACTTTGGTCCGTCCAAAGTTGTATTTGGTCTGTCCGAATACGCCCTTATCCCTTCGCCATCCACCCTTTCATTCGGAATTGAGTTCGAGAGTCCGCTTGGACGAGTGATTGATTCTGAACCCCCTTTCATCTCTATCTCGCCCATCTCTATCACCGAGCATCTCTTCCGCTAAGTCGAGGCGTGTATCATTTTGGTATCAGAGCTTTAACGGTCCAACGGCGAATTAAACCCGGTGAGATCTCTCCTTTTCTAGTTCTTTTATTGTCTATTTCGTTTCTATAAACCGAAAATCATATCTTACCAAAAACAATTTCGTATTATCGACTTTTTCCGTCATTGTCAAGAGCTGATCACTTCTGCGTGTTTTGCAGCGAATCTACGGAGTAACGGCCCAGGAAACCTCATCTACATCGATCCATCAGCCCTCCTCTAGGTTGTTTCGTTCCTCTCTTTTACTCCTTTCATTTTCGTTGAGTGCACGCCGAGTGTTTGATTAATTGTGTGAAACAAGCTGCATGTTGTTGTTTGCTTGAATCCGTGTGTGAAGAAGGTTTGTGTTGCACGTTTTGGTTGATTAATTTCCGGTCCAATCCGTGGTATTAAAAGCAAATCCGTTCGCTTGTGATTGTATTCGCACGTTGTAACAAAAATCTATCTTGTTCGGCCGTTAGACGAAATTGTTCGAGTGTTGTTGTGCCGTGATTGCAAATCTGTCCGTAATAAGTAAAGCTTGTTCGCCACCTTGCACGCTGAATTGGTTTCGTTTGATTGCAGCGCACGTTATCATCTTGCACGTTGATTGTTTTACTTGATTGGCGAGCACGCTTAACGTTCATTATTCTTGCACGTTAGGATAGATTCCTTTGGGCGTTGTGGTTATTACTTGCATAGTGTGAGACTTGAGAGAATTATGAGTAACCACGAGCCGTCCAACAAAGGTTCCAACTGTGAGCCTAGTAATGGAGCCATATTTCGGTCCTTACAACAAATTATGGATCGTTTAGCTAGGTTAGAAGCCGATAGGACACCCGAGCCCCGTGTGCGAGAACCGATAGCACGCCATAGACCAAATCGAAACCATAATCCCGACCTCCCCAGTGATGTAGAGAGCGATATCCAACCAAGGCATAGGCCAAGAGGGCGTGTGATTGAGGATAACTCCGATAGGGATGAGCCACGTAGACGTCGAGACCATAGGCCGCGAGAAAGGGTCTCCGACGAGGAGTTGGATCCCGAGTATCTACCTAGATGAAACCCCCATCGTAGAGCTAGGCCGGAGAGATGGGCAAATCTAGTTAAGGAAGAGGAACCTCGGCCCACTAGGGGTCAAGGGGCTGATCTTAAACTCAAACCGCCCTTGTTCATAGGACGGATAGATCCCGAGGCCTATTTAGATTGGGAGCGACGCATGGATAACATATTCGATTGTTATTCGTATTCGGACCGTCGGCAAGTCCAATACGCGGCTGCTCAATTAGCCGAAGGTGCGTTAGCTTGGTGGGATCGTGAGTTGACCGAGAGATGACGTGCTCAAATAGAGCCGGTCGGAACTTGGCGAGAGATGAAAGCGTTACTGCGAAAACGCTATATACCACCTCATTTCCATCGAGAACTCCAACGAAGGTATCGGAGAATCTCGCAAGGTGGCTAGGCTGTAGAGGAATATTTCGAGGAATTCGAGCACCTCCGGAGTAGGTTGGTCATGGAAGAGGATGAGGAAACGGTGATGGCTCAGTTCCTCGATGGATTAAACAAGCGAATTGCTCGAAAAGTTGAGCGCCACCCGTACCAAGATCTCCATGAGCTTTTGCACTTGGCCGTGCAAATTGAAAAACAAAACCAAAGAAAACAAGCGTGGCTAAGTAAGCCTAAAGAGTCTCCTAGTGAAAATTGAAAACCAAAACAAAAGAAAACAAGCGCGGCTACGTAAGCCTAAAGCGTCTCCTAGTCTTTTTCCACCCGCCCCCAAACCTATGGTCACGCCTCGCAAAGAAAACGCCGAGAGTCGTAATATGCCAAACTCCCGGGACAAGGGCAAAGTTCCCGAAATCTCACAATCCAACACCCAAAACGCTTCCTCACGTGACACACGATCTCGAGAGATCATGTGCTACAAATGCCGAGGACGGGGTCATATGGCTCGTGATTGTACAAATGCGAGAGTTATGATTATCACAGACAATGGAGAATACGAGTCGCTTGATGAGGAAGAAGCGGGTGATCTCGAGAAAGAGATTGAGTATCCCGATAGCGGAGAACTCTTGGTTACCCGACGAGTTCTTAGCGCTATGACCAACCCCGAAAGAATAGATTGGCGATGTGTTTAGCATCGTCCATCTTGGCACACGACACAAAGTGAGCCATCTTAGAGAACCGATCCACGACAACAAAGATAGAATCCTTGTGTTGGATTTTGGGGAGTCCAAGGACAAAGTCCATGGAAATGTTGACCCAAGGTTGCGTGGAAATCGATAGTGGCATATACAATCCATGAGGTTGCACCTTTGATTTTGCTCAATGGAATTCGATGCACTTGGCGCAAAACCTCCGAACATCCCTCTTGGTCCGGGGCTGACCAGCGAGAACTTTGGTCCTCCTGACCAAACACGCGGTCTGGAATCTGATCTGTCTGCTGGTCCGGCTGACCAACTCTTGGTCCGGCTGACCGCGGACAAATCAGATTCGGAATAGATTTTTCGGGCTTCGAAATTAGGGTTTTATCCCGGTTTCGACGCACCGTTAACCCGTCCCAAACTCCATACCATCCATGCATCATTCAACAATCACAAATATCATTAAACATGCATAGATTCAATGATTACATGCAATTTAACGATTAAATCATGCAATCATGCAACAGGCACGGCGATATACGGCGAACCAGGCTCTGATACCACTGTTGGGTTATCTACGGGTTTCTAGAATGCGATCATATCGATCTAGGGTTTGGTTTACTAGGTTTCATGCAGCGGAAGAAAGATCTAAACCTAGTCAAACGTCACACGCAACCAAACTCGCAAAACCCGAAAGATCGTGTACATCACCGAGGGAATCGTTACTTATCTCGTTCTCGATGAGACTTGAAGTTTATTTCGATCCGAGGCCTGTTCTAAATCACCTAGGACTGAAGTTACAGTCCCTCTACACGTATCCACACCGACGGGAAGGATTCCAAACGATTTGGAACGAATCTGCTAGGATTAGTGAAGAAAAGGGTAACTCAAGAGACGAGATCCAATCCCGGGACAATAGAAATCGAAGAGAACAGGTTCTCTAGGGTTCTAGGATGTTTCTATGAGTTTTAGGTCGGCTCTATCTTAAGTTTGAACGAAAAATCTCAAACTTAAATAAGATTAGAAAATCCTAAAACGAATTTTTGAAAATTTTCCGGATCCCGGTCCGCCGGACCAGGAGCTTGGTCTGGCGGACCAGGCTTACTCAGCTGCCCTCGGACCGTCTGACCTGGAGCCTTGGTTCGGCTGACCAAGACTGGTCAGCTCTGGACCAAGTCTCCTGGTCTTCTTTCGGTCCGCCTGTTCGCTCCTCGGTCCGCCTGACTCCAGCGCCTGGTCCGGGGGTGACCAACTTTTGGTCAGCCGGACCAGACCTGGACAGATGACCTCGGACTGAGCTTCCGGACTGCCTGATCTGACCAACTTGGTCCGGGGCTGACCAAACTTGGTCAGCTCAGGACCAACGCACTGAAAACTCCTTTTCGTGCTCGTTTCGATCAAATCTCGTTTCCATTCTTCGGATTCTTCACGTATAAGTCCATCCCTATTGGTGTGTGACCCTGTAGGCCCATTCTAAGTGATAGTGACTTTAGGAACCTTATCCGAACCACAAGTAATGGTTAGCCTCTAGCAAGACGCCATGACCACCCACACACAATTGAGTTAGAGGTGATCTAACCAAGGCATTAACAGCTCGAATTAACACGGCCGTGTCGAATGACAACACGGTCCGTGGTCCGTGTCAATTCTCTGAGCAAAACTTCACTTTTTTCAGCACGAACACAACATGGCCGTGTCGAATGCAACACGGTCTGTGTCGATTCTTCAATTCGAACATGCTTGACAGATTTGCTCGTAACTTTCTGCTCCAATGTCGGATTTGTGCGATCTTGTGTCTATGCGTAGATATTGAAGAGAGCTTTCCAATGAGTTAGAGAACACGCAATTTGGACTTGTAGAGTGGAAGTTATTAAACTTGCAAGATTTGACTTTTTAGGCTTCGTGTTTTTCCCCGTAACAACTCCAAATGTTCCCGTTTCGTCTGTGATGTTCCGTAGTCCATGTTTTCCACTCATTTTTCTCTCTTTTATGCATGAATACCTGTTTTGACACCAAAGAAAGCAACCAAGCAATATTGAGACCAAATGTGCTCTAGAATGCCTATAAATATGCAAAACTGAGTAAAATGCACTAGACAT